TTCTTCTTTATGTGTCTCTGTTGCACCTAAAGTTTGTTCAGGTAATAATTGAATATTAGATGCATTAACATTTTACATAGAAAATCACACAGTGTATGATTTGCTCAGACAGATTTTGTTTTAGCTTCAGACGAATTCAGAATAAATATTGTTTTTATCTCTCGCGTATCTCTTAGCAACATGGCGCATGTTTCTGCATCAGTTAGTTGTGTTACAGATGATGTGAAAGTAGTGTGTGAACCTCAGTTGTTTAGTGTATGATGCGCCGTTTTTCTCTGTAACATTTACAAATTCAGCAAATGTATGATGCCATTATGTTTTAAAATCTGTTCAGATTGTTAAAGTTGTGAAGTGTATTCCAGCCTTTAATGTAACCATTTTACGTTTTGGAAGTTATGAGTATGTTACTTAAATTACGCCATATAAATAACATGTTGCTTCTCTATTAATGTCATTTATGAACTTTGAGCAATAGAATTGAATCCCTTCTCTAGTCACAGCATGTTTAGCTCTACACGACAACAGATTGCTCCCATTATAATAAATTATTATCTATGAAGCTGTTTCAAGCGGCACTGTGTCTATACATGGGCAAAGTAGTTGCATGTAAACTATGAGGAGTAAACACTGCATAAAATACTATTCAGGAAAAGAACCACAGGCCAGGTGTAGAGCTGCTACTTTGGAAGAGAGTAAGAAACAGTTACACAAACATAAATCATATATTATTTTCCATAAAATACGTGATTTTTAAGCCTAGACTGTAGGGCTATACGATTTGGGGGAGGGGGACTTTAATTTAAAAAAATCTACTATTATTATTGTTGTTACTAAACCAAAAAAAAACAGTGCCGTGCTTCACCCTTGAAACACGATGTGCATGTATTAATTTAATTAACTCGCAACCTTATTGATTTGATAACCACATTACGCCATATTGCGATTTCAATTTTAATTTTGGTTAATCGTATATCCATATTAGACATGATCTGACGACATCTGTAAAATTAATTTTAATAATCCGAACCGTGTGTGGTGCACTGTTGTTGGTTGCTGAAAGCACAAATTCGCCAAAATATTTAATAAATGACCACGCGTGGAATGTGTAAAATGTTGTGAATGACAGGTGTTCCCACTGAGCTTTCTGTGGGAGTAACGCATTGATCTAACTGTTAATGTTGATTGCCAGCACCCTAAAAGCAGCATTGTCTTCACTGACCTTAGCTTGCCCGCTCAATTCTTCTATCCCAGCTGCAAGCAGGCCGAACGTGTGGCAGCGTTAGTCCTTCCCTCTCCTCTAGTTCTCCACTGTCTACGCTTAATGGGGCTTACAGCAGCGGCGCTCTGCCAAGCAGCGCCCTCACGCAGGCCCATACATCAGCCCCCGATGAGGCTCATTAACCCTCCTCTCATGACTCAATACACTCCTCCTCTCTCCCTCACTCGTTCGTCTCCATCACGTCTTCACTTTTCCCCTGGCCAACGTGTCAGACTCCAGTATCCCAGGAGTGTTGTCACAGGTGACGAGATCATGAGAAGTTAAATTGGGCCCTCACCTAAACCCGCCCCTGACCCAGGGCGTTTTCAATGCTCTGTTAGGATGTGATATTTTTTTTTATATACTGCTTCTTGAGGAATGTGCTCACTTTTTATGAACTTGCATAGTAGTGATAGACTGATATATTGGCAAGGTCGATTAATCTGTCAATTCTTGATCATCGTTAGCCGTTTGTGCCACATTCTGTGCATTCTGAGTAAACATTGTGCAACATTTGCAGCCATTAGTAGCGCATATATCTGCATTATATTGAACATGGGCATCCCTGATCTATCGGTATCGATATTGATATACGTTGACCACTAATCATAAGCTTTTCGGTCACCTTTTTTTCGGTCATCGTATGTGTGTTTCTGATCTACATCTTTGTCTTGTCTCCTTTTGTGACCTCTCAGATAGCGCTTTTCCTTCTTTCGTAGCATTTTGTGCATTGTTTTGCATTATTATGCCTACTTAATTCCTGGCCAGGTCTGAAAATCCAGGATTTGACCAGCCCCCTCGCTCACTCAGAGCCCTTGAGATGGAAAGCCTGAAAGCACCTAGCGTAGCATTAGCACTAGCTCGTGAAGGGGCGGGACTTCTCTTCCCAGTGTGTTTGCCCTACAGTTGTGCAAACACCCGTCTGACGGATCGCCCCGCCTGCCCCCAGTGACCCACCGTGGCATGTTTTGATTCATTAATTATGAAATAGTTGCACGATCCAAACCTACACAAAAACGCACATGAAAGGGAAACATATTTTATGATGTATGAATATTACTTCCAGTTATTGTTACAGATGTCTTTATCATTAACCTTGTTAAAGTTGGCGTTCATAGGCCAGGAGAGCCAAAGAAAATACTTTTGTGGGTTTTTGTGAAATATTCCACTTTCTATGGGCTTTGGTTCAGTGGCTCGTGTTCAAATCCGAAAAGCAATTTAAAAGCAGTACAGAGCCACGAAACACTGATTGTCCAGATAGGGCCAAACAGAGGCCACGGACGGGGACCCGGGACAGTCTGGGTTCAGTGGGCTCTCCATCAAAACCTGAAACAGAAGCTGGTACACAGCTTAAGCAGTATCTTCTTGTTTTCCAGTCATAAAAAAATCTCAATTTTAGTTTGAAGCTAAATTGCATTAGATATGAAGACGTAATTTTAGAGAATTGAATTCCATTAATTTTTACATCCATGCATATACCTCACCCCTTGAATGTTTGTTTATTAATTATGTTTTACGCTGCCGGGAAGGAAATGTCTAGTACTCATCCATTTAACACACATTACCAAATTTAAATCCATTGCACAAACGTCCACAGATTTCCCCCCAAAATCAGTACAGAAAATGCAGAAAAAGTTAGCAGATTCCCTTGGCCTGCCAATGGGATAAGAAAAATAAACATAGCAGTTACATTCTCGATTATCAAACAAGGATTATCTTAGTATCCTATGCTAGTTTGTTGTGTTATGCAATTTTGCTTCTCAAGTTCTTATTTTAAAGATCTTTAAATGTTTTTACTGGAAAACAAGACAAAAATAGTGATTATGGTAATTGATAATCCACGCACATGCTTCAGCTCCCTTTATTAATCTTTTCCTGCTCTCTTTGTCTCACACTGTTTGAATAATTAGTCCTCTTGATGAGAGTATATTTTTGTCTTTTTAAATCATTTGAATGAAAATAAACAGTCTGCTGGCCACATTAGCATCTGTTTCCTGTGTGTGTGTGTGTGTGTGTGTGTGTGTGTGTGTTTTAGTTAGTTAAGAGGCACCTGCTTCTGCCATGGCATATTTCCTGGCGTGCTTGGCACTGCCAGCACTAAGGAATCCCCCTTCCCTCCTCTCATTTCTCCACATCCCTTAGCCAAACCTCTACGGAAATCATTTGGAAAAAGGATTTGAGCATTAAAGATAACCACACCTGTGATTATCATTAGACAGAGGTGCTGTAAAATGTTAAATCCCTCTCTTTAGTTTAAGTTTCTTTTAATGAGCGGAAAATTAAACCTTTCGGGCAAATTCCAAGTGTTGAATTTTATATAACGATTTAAAAAGAAATGCTTGGTGAGGTGATTTGTTTTCAGTAGTGTTTTAAGGGCTAGACGAGAGAGACAGAGAAGAACCCTCTTACTAGGGACTCGATCCTCATGAGGTCACATGTCTGCTGTCTGCAGCATCACCCCCACAGCTTTCTCATTTCTCATTGTCAGTTTGATTCGTTAGACTCCCTTCTCTTTGGGCTATTTAATAGTTCTCTGGACGCTTGTTACCTTTGAGTTTTCAACACTGGAGGAGAGTGGAACCAGTGTGCTGGATGGTACATCACTGTATGTCAATCTTACTGTAGTCTGGACTCCATCACAGCTTTCCTTGGCCAAGGACCGCCCAAGAGGATGTCTGAAAGACATGTAAAGCAACCAATCACAGTTCGTTTGGTTCCGCGTCATGTTCAGGGGCGTGGAAATGTAACATCGATTTCCTTACGATCATTTGAACCAGCGTGCATCTAATAAATGAATCATTCAAGAACGTTGTGCAAGTTTACTGCAACAATGGCGCCGTGGCGTGAACTTCACATACCTTTGAACATCCAGTGTTTAGTTGATCCTGATATGCACTTCTCGTCAATGACAGCTTTCGTCTTCCATGAGGGGGTTCCATGACAGCTTTGTTTCCAGGCAGAACGTTAAAGAATGCGACACACACGTCTCGGAAATCCTGACGCATTCACCCAATCAGATGACGACTTTGAAACTCCCGAATTGTTTCCCGTTTTGTGTGCCTTTATGCATCAGACGTCGAAAACTGAGACTAGTCTTGTTGTATTATATTAAACAATGATAGTGGGTTACACTTTATTTTAAGGTGGCTGTGTTACATTTTAATTAAACATTTAAGTACTGAGTAATAATAATAAAAGTACATGTACTTACTATAGGGTTATGGTAAGGAATAGGAGTTGGTTTAGGGTTAGTCGAATGTAATTATGCATAATTTATAGTTATTACTACAGTAACTACTTGTAACGTGTAACAATGACACTGTAAAACCTAATAGTGCTACTATTTTGTCAAGATGTAAGGGGTGTTAGGCTTAATGCAAAGCGGTAAAATCACTGTAACACACGTGAAAGTGAAACCGCAGAATGAGGAATATTATAGTATTTATTTTGTTGATTATTTTACAAATGTTGAAATTGGAGTCTAAAATTAACATTCGCCAAAATTGGCTTTGAGTAAATTAAACATTGTATGATTCCAGTTGAATTGTAAGAATGAAAATATGGTGCATCTTCTAAGAATTTTTTGTCAGTGAAAAATCTACCACTTCACCTCGATGCTTTAGGTTTCTGCTTTAACTCCGTGCTTGGTCATTTTACAGCCAAAAAAAACAGAATGATTTAAGATGATAGGTTTATTAAACGTAATATTAATAAACTCTTTTTTGTATCTGTGTTTCCCCAGCTGGAATCTGAGCTGGAGCAGTGTGAACGAGAGAGCGCCGAACTGCAGGAATACGCAAACTCCGTCCTGCAGCAGATCGCCGATCACTGCCCGGACATCCTGGAGCAGGTGGTCAACGCTCTGGAGGAGTCGTGCTGACTGGACCTCAGTCCTGCCCCCTCCTCTCTTCCTACTTCTCCTTCCCTTTCTTCTGTTGTTCACTTCATTTCACAGGACGCCAGAACACAAACTCTCTCACCCTCACCCTCATGCACAATTCAAAGGACAGACACATACGGGAGAGACTGACAGCTCGCAAGTCAAGTGCACGCTTGGATTGGCTTTGGGGTGTGGGAATGGTGGGCTTTCCTTCTGCCATCCCCTACCACCACATTCATCCTCTCTGCACCTTCAGAATCCTGTTTACACTCGCATAAACACGGGAAAGAAGGAACCGAAAGGAGGAAATGAGCAACAGAGAAGCTCAGTATTATAAGACATGTTCACTTATTTAGTCTGTCTCTGAAAAGCGTCCTGCAGGAGGTGGTTCTCTCTGTGAGGGGCAGGAAATAGTCTCCTTATCTTGATATACACTATTGCCACTGCTCTTAAAAGCTGCAGGATTTTGAAACCGTTTTGAAGAAATTTAGACCCTCCTCTCCCATTCCCCCTTTTTTTGTAGATGCTGTGTTACTGACGTTAAATTATGGGTCATTCGCGCAGGGCAAAACTCCTGCACTTTCAAACCATCTGGTTTCACTCAAAACTTGGTTAATGCTCCGGTTGTGCCAGCAGACAGTCCGTGAGGACTTAAACATACTTTTACTATCGTAGTCAGTAGCGGGTTTAGATTACTGCAGCCCCCACCATCTGGGAATTCACTATTGACTTGGTTACTGGCCGATTTTCTCCCAAAGTCTCGTTCATAAAAGTTATGAAACGGACAATATGGGTAATGTTATCCCGTATGCACCTGTCACCAGCTAAAGAAACCACAGTCCTGGTTTGTGTCTGTTAAAGGTGAGAGGAAGAAAATTATTTGCCTTGGAAGTTGTAGGTTTATTGCTGCTAACATTTGTCTTTGCATGTGGCAGGTTTGGTTTGGTTATGTTTTTCTTTTTTTTCCCGTGGCCGGCTCTCTGATGCCGAGGGCGGTAAAACAGTGGGTGTATTGCCGACGCAGATGTTGTGGACGTAGAAGTGCCTCATCATCAGAGAGCAGCTGCCACACATCACTGGAATAGGAAAATAGGCACCTATCACTCATTCCATACTCTGAAAACTATGTGGTCTCACACTGGGATGAAGACTGGCAGTAGTTTCTCAGTTTGCTCGCTCTTGAGTTGGAAACTACAGGGTTGTTCTTTCTTTCTTTTTTTTTGATGGATAGGTTCAAATAAGAGTAGTTGTTTAGATAACTTCTTTATTCCAGTCTCTTTTTTTAAACAGATGCAACTTGTTTTTTGTGGTTGCTTTGTGATCACCCCATCAGAGATAACATCAAGCTTTGATCCCAAGCATCTTGCATGTACCATCATGCTCCTCTCTCTCTTTGCTTGGCTTCACATGATCATCCTCAGACCCGGGCGTCTCTGTTAGCACAGCCGGCAGGTGTATCCTTTTTCACTTTATGGTTATATGGGTCTATATCCGTTGGCATTGGGTGTCCATCTTTGGACGACCACAGGAGTGATAAGACACAACCTCGTTCAACTCGTGATAACCGTGGTTGCCTCATCGTGCGGATCGGCCGATGCTTTAAAGTCCAGAGTCAACTTCCCCTCCCGCTGCCCCTGTGGATGACACTGGGCGTAACATGCCCTCTGCTCCTCTCTCTCTATATCTCCTCATCCCTCCCTCATTCATGCCTGTGTGTAGTTTATGGCTCTGACCTGCTGTGCTGTGTTAGTCATACTCCTCTCCACACGATAAGCTCGACAGACAAGACAAACAGCACGAGATCACAGCGAATATAATCATCTCTCTCCCACACGCTCCCATATCGCCACACCTCTCCTCATGCCCATTCTCACTAGCGAACAGACATGTGATTTTGGGCCAGACTTTATCCAGATTTGATTGACCTGTGAGTCACATAGAACTAGTACACAAACTTCCTCCAGAGATTCATGTTTGTTTGTCTCTTTTGATGATTTAGATTAAAAGAAGAGTAGTTGGGTGAATCTCATGAAAACACATTTTGGTCATATGTTACCCCAAAATCATTAGGAAAATGTATTGCAGCATTATTTTCATGACAACAACATTTACCCTTAAAATTCTCAAGGCATTTGCATTATTATTACTGTTATTAATATTGTAATTCTCAATAGTGTTGCTCATGAGATTCTGATTACAAAAAGTACAGCATTAAAGTAAAAACCAAATCCTCTGCAAATCGAATATTCAATATTTTTTTCAATTAGCATAAATTAAAATCAGTAAAACAAATACCAAATTGATGTAAGCATTTTACAATTTAAATATTTTTTTGTCACATTACAGTTATGAGAATTTGTGAAAATATTCTTGAAACAACTTTTCATAAACAATATATTTTTTTTTTTTCTATGTCCCTGACCGGTTTCGTGAGATTCACCCAAATGCATTTATAAGTAAACCAAGCTAAATTTATGGATATATGGGGCCACTTTAACATCATATTCCCACGCTTATGTGGGCAATGCCAAGAAAAGGCCCGTTCGCGTGCCATTCTCACCCCTGGCACCGTAGATCTTATTGCAGTCATATACAATGCATCTCTATAAAGTATTTTATGTTTTGTTATGCTCTTAATTACCACTGATGGACTTCTTCATGAGGACATGAATGTGACGAGCAGCTCTGTTGGGCTTTTAAAATGAAACAGCTGATGGATGAGGCCCATCCTGTTTTTCATCTCTGTCGCTTTCTTTCCGTCTGCTATCTTTCACACACAAACACAGTTTTGGCCGTCACCCGTGGCTCTCTGAAACATGGGGCTCAGTTATCTGCACCGTGGCTGAATCTCCCCGCTTAGACTAAACACAGACCCTTCGCGCACACACTCACTATCACAGAGACGCTCTGGCGATTTATGTCCTTCAGTACAGGAGCTGGCCTCTTACCGCCGCTCAGCTTAGAGCACTCCGGAGAATTCACTAAGAAAACAAAAAGAAGGAACGCTGTGATAACCGGGATCGGATCAGAGAAAGAATGACCCGGCGCTTTTGCAGAGGGTGTTATTGTGTGTTGAGTGAGTGTCTCTCTGGAGCTCTGCTATTTGTGTGATTGCTGGTTATAGGCAGAGCATGGAAATTCCCTGCAGGCTTTGGATCGCTCCGTATGTTTCGGAGGCTTCCCTGTCTCAGTGATTCCTCTGTGTGTTTTGGAAGAATTAAAGAGATCTACACCAGCGTCCTCTGCTCTAGCTAATCACCAAAGCTATACAACTATCCTGTAGCACTTTATATGAAGCCTGTATATATCACAGTATTTTGAATGCTAGTGTATTCACAATACGTTATAACACTGCGTAATTATAACAGTTTTATACATTATAAAACTTGCGTAATCGTGTTTACACCTTTAAAGACTGTAATGCATTATTAAACAACACAAGAAATTTTGTATTTATCATGTTAATGCTTTTTATTTGAAGGTGTAACCATTAGATAAGTATTATAGTGCATTAAAACTAGTCGTAATTATTCATAAGTACATTAAACTGATAAGTTCTATTATGAATGTTTTAAGAATACTTTTATAATGCATTATATAAGCTGAATTGTTAGAAAAGGGCCCAATTCAGTTTGTATAATGCATTATAGCACTATATACCTGAATTCACTCTATATAATCACCTTATATAACCCTATACAGGCTTCATAGAAGGGTATTATATTTATTTTGTGACCGTGATGGTGCATAACTGCTTATAGCGTACGTTTTTTTCGCACACCACTGCTGTTAATTTATAGCGGAGCCGCTCATAGGATGTGGTCAGCTGACTTTCCATAGCGTTTGGCTTTTTACATCTACCTGGCTTGAAACTGTGTTCAGCCACGAGTGTGAATGAGCATGAGGTTTTGCTTCATGTTCTAGTATGAGCATTTTTCATCCTCATTAAACTCAGCGAGGCATGTCTGTGGAGGGTGAGAGAGAAAGAGCAAGCGTGGGACGGTCAGCGAGGGCCCGACTTCTAATGCGTATATTTTCCAGTCTCACAATTTGCTGTCTAGATTTTTATTCAACCCTATTTTGAATTTATCAAAATGTCTACTTAAATCCCTTTTTTTTTAAGTCTCTCTATGTCCCATAATTCTTAGCGTTAATCAGTAGTGCTGCCATTCTGGCCTCCTGAGTTTTGTCATGCAGATGCTATAATCCTATTTAATTTGTTACTAAAGACAAATAACTGTGAGAACACTGCTAGAGACGTCTTGTTACACACATACAGAAATCTATATTTATATATGTTAATGGCTGAACAATTTGCACAAGCGTCTGGGGAAGAGAATATATATCAGTCTGAACAAAATGGCTGTCTGCCTTTTAAAAGAAAAAAAGAAAGATCTAGAAACACTAACATTTGTCTTGAAATGAAAATGAAAGAAGAAGCCTTTCTAAGTGTCAAATCAAAGCTGTTAACAAAGATTTTCAAAATTGTTACCATGTGGTTGATGTACTGTTGCTATCTTCTCCGCATCTCGCTGGGTTTTGATTCCAACTCACCTTACAGCTGTTATTCTTTCCCGTTTGTTTTTGTTTCGCAGTCCTTGAGAGTGTGCGTGATTTGCAATGTTGAAAACTGCAGCGTGTTTTGTATTACAAAACATGTATGTCTGTTCTTGAGGGCGGGAGAAACCTCTGTGACCGTGTTTCGAGGGGACTGAGAGATGCCAAGACCTTTGCTTGAGAACTGTGATCCTAATAGCACTCTGGGTTGCTGGAAAGTCAGTGTTATTTTAGGTTTAGCATCGTTTATGCGTTTTCAGGAGATAATAAGCATGTTGCGTTGACCTTTTTGGTCAGATGATCAGCATCACTCGTCGTTCGTAGTCATTTATTGCTTGCGTAAACACACTCCGAATTTTTATGGCCTCCTAAGTAGATTGCTTATTAAATTGTTTACTTATTAACTCATCTTGAATTGTCATTATTTACCCAAACGGTCCGTCAACACGTCCACATTTTTCATGCATTACTTCCCTCCACTTAGTTTGATGGACTGAGACTGTTTAAAGCATGAAACCACATAAAACATCCACTGAAGGATTTGGCAAGTTTATGTCTGACTTTCCGTTCTCCATCTGAGCGATTTCGGTGCCAAACGAAGCTAGTCAGCTCTAGAAAGTGCCACAAATAATAACTTGCCTGTCGTTCATCAGCAACCAAAGCCAGGTCACGTGACCTTTTACTGTTTATATCATGTTTGCTTTCTATTTAAACCTTTAAACCTTAATTGACACAATAAGAGGTCAAACCGAAACCAACTCCAGCTAGATGAGACACCAGAACGGACGCCTTTATCAAGTGTATAATAGAGTTGAATGAAGCATCATTATTCACAAGGACCTAATCTTCATTTCAACTCAGTGTGGTATCAGTCATTTTTTAGACTGTTACAAAAGTTCTGTGTGCCTATATAAGAGAATATGTAAAGCTTGAGGTTGGCGCTTAATGTGGTATCTCCTTTTTTTCCTCTGGATTTTGTCCTAAGAGAGTGTCAGACCTCAATATCACCCCATTCACATCATGTTCTCTTGGCTCCAGCAACCCTGCCTTCTGTCACAGTAAAGGTCTGTCTTTTCTAATGATTCATGCTCTTTTTCTACGCAGTACACTGAAACACTGTCAAGGAGGATTCCCGCCCTTTCCCCTTTAATTTAATGAAGAAAAATAAATGGAAACGTGTCAACTTTAACCCAAAGCTCGTCATCTTTCATGTCTTTTTTTTTCTTTTTCACATTCACAAAAAATACTGCCTTATGTCTGTGTGGAAAGATGAAAAGATTTCTGTAAAAAGAAAATGAAAAATAGCAAAAAGGCGTATTGTATTCAGCTTTTGCCTTTATGTATATAAACTCTATCATTCAGTCCTTTATAGTGTTTTGGTCTTTTCTGTCAATTACGATGCACTGTTATTCATTCATATTCTACAGTTTGTCATTCTTCTCCGTACGCTGCCTACCTAGACTGTGTTATACATGTGCTCCAATGGAGGCCACGCTTGATTCAAAAGGTAAAATGTATGCTGCCTTCATATTCTAATGTAGAATCACATGTATCTTAAGTGGTAACGATGTTCCCAGAATGCTTGTTGATTATGAAATCTGTTGATTATTGAATTCCA